AAGTTCTTTTGTGCTTGATGAAAGACCATCAGTCACTAACCTTTACACCAGCTGTATCAATAAAAGAGAGAGATAAGGGCAGCTTCTTAAACACTAGACTGTTCAGTAAGTCTTGCAAAGGTTTGGCCACTTCTTTATAGATGTATACATGCTGAACAGTTCTTATTTGCTGGGGTATTTCCCTGTCCTTTATATTTTGCTGTTCATTACAGCTAAAAGCTTACATCATACCTGAATATCCATTTCTGTGGCATATGAATGAGTTCACCGTGTTGCCTACAGCGAGATGAAACCGGCTGGTGGTGGATGAGTTTGGTGTAAAAGTAATTGTCAGGTGAAGTGCCGGCACAGTATGAATATACCCATCTTGTGTGTCGAATTACCAATTATATTTGCCCACATTGTTCGGCTTCAGAAAAGGCCGAAATCTAATTTCCCTGCTCTTGCTGGTATATTTTGAATCCCTTTTCATTGCAGCCCATATGACCCATGAAGAAATTTAATATAGAATATGTTTCTCAAGCATCTGTTATGTAATTGAACTACTGGGATCGTACTGATGGAGAGCAGAGGTCAGGAAAGGTATTTCTTCAGCTCTGAATTGCAGTGCCCGCAGTGTGCCCGGAGGACTATGATTTGATTGCCTCCAAAGCGTCTTGTGTGCCATACAGAAGCCAATACCTCTGAGAAGCTGACAGTTTTGAAGCGGCCAAACAACGTAGGGATGCTGTATGGAGCCTGGAAATGAGTCCCTGTGTAGTGGTTTTCCTCTTCAAGTCATAATCAAGTCAAAACAGTCTGGTTTTTGTCCCTCAGACTAGCAGCAGAACGACTCATCTACCGCCATCCACGGCATCGCAAACAGCCGCCTGCGGAGGGTTGCGCGAGGCAACATATGTAAATCCTGAGGAGATTAAAGGAGCCCTCAGGATAGTTTTAGTATTTCACTGCCTTTCTCGGTTTCGCTACAAAAGATTCTCCCGGCGGAGCTTTTCTCGCACGCTGCATACTAAAGGCAGAAATTGAGATTGCGTTCCTAAAACACCCTGTTCTGAAGTTACTGATTTGCCTGCAAAACTTTCCCATCAGTGCCAAGTATATCAAAGGAGTCTTTGAAGACCACCTATTTAGAACATAAGCACCTTCTGGGCCAAACCTTCTTAAGTGAATTGTTATATATTGCAATGACAAGGCGCCAACAGCGCTCTTGTGTCGGGCTTTTCTCAGCTCTCTAGTTTTTACAAGCTTTACGGTCTTAAAGTTGGTGCTACACCTTGTGATTCACCGGCCCTTGTTTTTGGGCGCTTCGCAGCTCCACTGGCATTTCCTCTTTGCTTCATACTGGTTGTAATTAGCTTTGACTGCATCTCTGTGACAGCCAGCAGACAGTCAATGGCCAGAGCCATTATTGTGAGCACGGCTCTCTCTCACTGTCAGCTCCGCATTATATGGAGTCTGGTAGACTATGAACTTATTTCCCCTGCAGGCTAGGTGAAATGGAGGACATCAGTTCAGAGAGCAACTCCCCTTGCTTTTTTGAGAGCCCACAAATACATAAAGCCTCCACCCGTGGAATGAAGGACTCAAATAATCTGATTTCAAATGATTGAGTGTCCAAGAGTTTAAAGAACCCAGCGAATATTGAGCCCCCTCAGTAATAGTGTGAAGTTCAAAGGGACTGTAAGGACATGCACATGCCTCACAAACTCCATAGTAGTTTTCAAAGATATATTATAATACCGATAGTGCCAAACTTTAAAACTATAGAGCCAGTATATGCACATGTGAATTGTGAAAACACAATGGTTGCATTCTGTGCCTGGTTACTGTGTAGTTTGAAAAGCCTAAATTTAGACTAATAAACTATATTACTTGGTGGTAATACGCTCAGAAAAGATGTTTTTCCTTTTATATACATTTAAATGAGAAGTTCAGTCAGGTGTTTCGTTCAGACCCATTGCCACAGGTGAATAAAATCAAGCACCTAGCCATGCAGTCTGCATTTACAAACATTTGTGGGGGAAAAAAGGGTCGTTTTGAGGATACCTTTGAATTCAAGCATGGTACTGTTATAGGATGTCACCTTTGCAAGTCAGTTTATGACATTTCATCCCTGCTAGATATTCCACAATCAATTGTAAGTGTTATTATTGGAATATCAGCACGAAAACTGAAAGATTCATGGAGTGGATTTCTTTGGCTGAGCAGCTGCATGCAAGCCTTTCATTACAAAGTACAATGCCAAGAGTCGGATGGAGTGGTGTAAGGCCGGTTTCACACTGCCACCATGAGCAGCCCATATATATATATATTTTTTTGGCGTCCATGTTAACAAATGAGAGCATTCACAGCATGAGAAGGAGCATCGCATGAGCAGCACTGATGCAGTGGTTTTGGCGCCTAGTCTATTTTTTTCTGCGCTGTTCGCGCACAATTAAAGTGACCGCACACTTTTGATGGACAAAATAAAGATGATTTCACACAAAAAAAAATGCACAGAATAAGTATGTCTAGTGTGTTTTAACAAGAATTGGAGTTGTCAGAGAAGAAAATTAAGAATCAAAAATATGTATAGAAGATTTACCCATTTAAACTTGTTTTAAATTGTTCAGTTTGGGTGAGAGTATCGTGTATTATATTTTAAAAAAAAAACATTATTTAACAGCACATTGTATATCGAAGTATGACTGAAATGACATGATCAGAGCTGTTTTTGTTGTGTACCATTTACATGTGAATACTATCAAGAACTTTCAAGTTTATAAATGAAAACTTCTAAATACAAATTTATAGTTGTCTTTGTAAAGAAATATGTAGCTTTGGTGCTGGTGCTGTGACGCTGTACAAACACTTCCAGCGTGAATGCTCTCGCAAGTCTGCAGCTGCAGTGACGATGTAGTTATGTTGACGTGAAGCTGATGTGAAACCAGCATAAAGCAAACTGCCACTGGACTCTGGAGCAGTGGAAACCTGTTCTGTGGAGTGATGAATCTGTTTGGCAGTCTGATGGGTGAGTCTGGGTTTGGCCAATGCCAGGAGAATGTTACCTGCTTGACTGCATTGTGCCAACTGTATGGGGCTGCTTAGTTCCAGTGAAGGGAAATCAATGCTTCAGCAAACCAAGACATTTTGGACAATGCATTGCTTCCAACTTTGTGGGAACAATTTGACGAAGGCCCTTTTCTATTCCAGCATGACTGTGCCCTAGTGCACAAAGCAAGGTCCAAAAAGACATGGTTAGATGAGTTTGGTGTGGAAAAACTTGACCACAACTATATTAAATACCTGGGATGAACTGGAACTGAGTTTACTAGCCAGGCCTTCTTGTCCAACATCACAGCCTGACCTCACAAATGCTGTGGATGAATGGGCAAAAATTCCTACATAAGCACTCCAAAATCACATTAGGTGGGTGGTATTGAACCTTAAAAAAATAGGGGTGCTCTGATCAGGATTTTTGAGGCCGATCACAGAAAGCAGTATCTGCCAGTACCGATCTTTTTAAAGCTTTCTTTTTATAATTTATAACAATTTATATTGATACTCCAAACAGTATCATTCAGACATTTATTCAGGGCCTGAATTAAATTTTTGAAAATGGGGGGAATTCCCCTCTTAGGTGACTCTTGTGAGAGGGGAAGCAGCTTTCACACAGGAGTCCACTACTGATCCTTGGCTGTTTACCACAAACACAACATTTATCCATTATTTTGATTTCAAAACCAAACATTGTCACTGAAAATGCTTTTTCAGCATTGCAATTTTTTTTACACCGTGCAGTAATACAATCTTTCACAGACATGTTTAAACACAATAAATATAAGCAACACATTATTCAATGCATTTTACTTTTGCATTTACTTCTAGATTTATATATTAAAGGGGTCCTAATATGTTCTTTTACAAAGTCTTGATTTTGTTTTGGGGGTGTACTAGAACATGCTCTCATGCTTGGTGGTTCGAAAAACGCATTATTTTTCACATAATTTACATTATTAAAATATCTTTCTCCCCATCCTGGCACAAATGGCTCAATTAGTTCCGGCTTTAATGAAGGTCCGCCTTCACCTCCACGAGTGCCATCTATTATTGCCTTGTTTATCTAAAAGTGCTCTTTCCCTTTAAACCTTGCCAAAAAGCCATGTGTAGACTGTGAAACACAGTAGACTTTAATAATATGCGTACTCCTAGACAATGACGATTTGAAACACAGTTTTTCCTGTGTTGTTCAAGTTACATGGGAAAATTCCAGTGTGGGGATTTTTGTTTCACATAATCCATCTTTGTACTGTATGGAATAATAGTTTTATATAAATGAGTGTGTTTAGAGTGATTATGTTGTAGTCTGTAATAATCTATCATTTAAAAGTTTGGGGTTGGCAAGATTTTTTTATGTTTTTGAAAGAAAGCACTTATGCTCACTGAGGCTGCCTTTATTTGATAAAAAATAAATAAATACAGTAGTGTTGTGAAATATTATCATGGTTTAAAATATCTGTTTTCTATTTGAATATATTTAAAAATGTATTTTACATATATTTTTTTAATTTATTCCTGTGATGCAAAGCTGAATTTTTTGCCAGTCACATTATCCTTCAGAAATCATCAATTAGATCAATTTAATATATCCTTACTGAATAAAAACCTTTATTTCCCTTAATAAAATAGAGGTAATGTAATCTAATTGTGATTTCAAAGTTAAGTCTTAGTCATAGAGACCATCAGTAAAATCTTACCACAAGTAATAGTTGTACACTGAGAGACAATGAGATCTAACCATCTAATCTGTCTTTAAATAGACCTCTCAGGTTGAGATGGATTTCCTAGACACAAACAACTCCTCAATCTTGACCGTTTTTTTGCACAAAGTGACAGGTTATTTTTTTTGTTCTGTCTGCTTATTTAAAACTCACTGCGAATTCAGCAAAATGTTTGTGTTAGGCTCTCATGTATGATTGGCTTATGTTGGCTGTTTTTCTTTCTTTTGTCATTCTAGCATTTGTGATATACAACTTCCTGAGTCTGTCTTTTGAGTACCTTGGAGGAGAAAGTGCCATCATGTCGGAAATAAGAGGAAAGCCTATTCAGTGAGTGTCTTTACATTTACATTTAAGGCATGATAAGTGTGTTTCCTATGTAGAGGCTGCCCCAAATTGTAGACAATTAAATTATGCTACCAATTTAATATTTATGCTGCCACTCTGTAACTCATTTAGGCAAAGTTCTAAGAAAGCATCACATATATCCAGCATGGAGAAGGAAGTCCTACAAAATGCATAGTGAAGAGCTTTAGGAGAATATAAATACAGCATGTTGGACAACGCTGGCAAAAAGTTCATTAACATGCACAGGACATAATTAAAATCGATTCTCATGAAGCTCCTCTGGAAGAATGATGGTCGTCATCTTTTGAATTTTGTTGTCATCACTCACATGACCACCATGACTCAATGTGTTCGAGAATACATGCTAACCTCTAGGTTAAGAAACAAAATGTTCTATTTCTAAAGAGTTTGTGCAAAATAACTTTTTTTTTTTTAAGAGATCATTTCATCTATCCTCAAGAATTGCATCACCTTTCAAATGTTCCTTTTCATTTGCCTTTAACAGGTCTAGTTGCCTGTATGGGACATGCTGTTTGGTAGGAATGAGTTACTCCATTGGCTTCCTGAGATTCTGCAAGCAGGTTTGTTCACATTTTTCTTTAAAATCAGAATTACTTTTTCTTCACAGCAACATTTTTCATAACATTTCTTTTAAACATTTTAAAAACCCTAAAATATTCAGCTTATTTCCAGTGGAGTCCAAAAGTGTGAGACCAAATTGAAAATCTGGAAATCAGCCGAACATTTTAGGATTTTATCATGTCTCATGTCCCATTCTGTTTCGAGTACAAATGGCTATATGTGACCCTGGAGCACAAAAGCAGTCTTAAGTCGCTGGGGTATATTTGTAGCAATAGCCAACAATACATTGTATGGGTCAAAATTATCCATTTTTCTTTTATGCCAAAAATCATTAAGATATTAAGTAAAGATCGTGTTCCATGAAGATGGTTTGTAAATTTCCTACCATAAATATATCAAAACTTAATATTTTATTAGTTATATGCATTGCTAAGAACTTCATTTGGCGCCCTCAGATTCCAACCCTCAGATTCCAAATTTTCAAATAGTTCTATCTCGGCCAAATATTGTCCTATCCTAACAAACCATACATCAATGGAAAGATTATTTATTCAGCTTTCAGATGATGCATAAATCTCAATTTCAAAAAA